AGAGAATATATATATATATATATATTTAACTAAGTGTGAGATAATGTTTTATCGTTTTTGTTACTTGTATTTTACAAGAGTTCTGACCAGCACCAGATAAACTTCAGTGCTCTCCTTTCTTTGGCCTCAATATTACTGGATTAAATAATTACTGCTTTTCACTAGAAGCATCGTTTATTCACCATTATTTTAAATTTTATATTAAAACTCAATTTCTAGTAGAGTCTTTGGTTTCTTAGGTTTTTTTTATCTAGGTAATTTAAAAATCTTTTGTTATTCTTTACCATGTTTCAAACTAAATTAAAGCAGTTTATGTGAACCAATCAGTTTCTTTGGGAATTATATAGAAGGGCATGAGAGCCTTTATTTCATGCAATCCAACAATGTAACTTTAAATAAATTTATGGTGGAACTCCAACTTGTATCCACATTGTTATATGCACAGTTAGCATTATTACCTCTGAGCTGCATTTACTCTATAATGTGCTGCCACAGTATTTTGCCTATCCACTCCACCATGGATACCTTCCCCACCCTCATATTGCCTCCCACTCCTTACCACCACAAACAATACTATGAGGAACATCATTATATATATTTCCTTATGTATCTGTGTGAATATTTTTCAAAGCAACAGAAAGCTACCAAAGTAACCAGGACTTGAAGGTTCTGGTTATCCAAGAGAAAGAAGACTCAATCAATGCACTGAACATTACAGCTGCTTCTCTTCCTGAGAAATTTATCAGTTCTCAAGTAGTTAGAACAAAGAAGTTAACAAACCAAACAGAAAGTATAACTTCTAAGAGACAAGGAAGATTATTTGCAATTTTAATAGTTATTCATGGCTGGTGAGATTAAAATTAGTGTTCAGGACTTCCAACACAGCCAGAACTTGAAAGCCAAGAATTTAGATAAAAGAGAAGCAACAAATGGTGAGTTGATCACTCTAATTTTCTCCTTTTGAGGCATGCATTTTTTCACAAGTTGTACAGGACAAGAAGTACAGCCCAGAATAGGAAGTACAGAATATTTTTGTTCAAAATCTAAATAGCTAATCAGATCCTTTAGGAGATAAAAATCAGAGCTCAGAGGATTTCCAAGGTAGAGATACCTTTCTAAACATTCCAGGATTTCAGTCAGAACCCCTAAAGTGCTACTCCTAGGAATAAGTATATGGATCCAGAAATATAAATCCTAAAATTCAATTTTGAATTAACTCTATCCCAGATTGGATTTAAATGATCTGCTACTCTAATTGCTTTCCAGAAGCTAAAGAAAATTCTCTGGAGGAAGAGAAAATCATCCATATCCTGAAAATGAAACATTTTCATTTTCAACATTTAGCATACAAAATATCCAAGTACACCATGAGAGAAGATAAAAATAGAAAATCGGCTGGATGCAGTGGCTCACTCCTGTAATTCCAGCAATTTGGGAGGCCCAGGCAGGTGGATCACTTGAGGCTAGGAGTTCGAGACCAGCCTGGCCAACATGGTGAAACCCTGTCTCTGCTAAAAAAAAAATACAAAAATTAGCCAGGTGTGGTGGCACGCACCTGTAATCCCAGCTACTTGGGGGGTTGAGGTGGGAGAATCGCTTGAACCCAGGAGGCAGAGGTTGCAGTGAGCCAAGATCTCGCCACTGCAAAACAAAAACAAAAACAAAAAACCAAAACCAAAACAAAAAACAAAAACAAAAACAAAAAACAAAAACAAAACAAAGCAAAAAGAAAATGGAAAAAAGAGAAATGAAAAATAGAAGATATGAACAAATTCAGAGTTGATAAACCAGGCACAGAAAGATAAATATCACATGTTCTCACTCATCTGTGGGAACTAAAAAATTGATCTCATGGAGGTAGAGAGTAGAACAATGCTTACTAGAGGCTAGGAAAGGTGGGTGGGTGGGGTGAAGGGAGGTTAAATGGGTAGAAACATACAGCTGTATAGAAGAAATAAGATCTAATGTTTGATAGCAGAGTAGGGCAACTATAGTTAACAACAGCGTATTGTATATTTCAAAATAGCTAGAAGAGAGGACTTCAAATGTCCCCACCACATAAAAATGATAAATACTTGAGGTGATAGATGCCTTAAATAGCATGACTTGATCATTATACATTCTGTGCATGTAACAAAATGTCACACATGTACCCCATAAGTACGTACAAATATTATATATCCGTAAAACTTCTTTTTAAAAAAATTTTTGCTGTAAATGGAAGCAGAGAATTGAGAAGATCGCAGAGGATGATGAAGTCAAAACAATGCTTTGAGGTCAGACAAATAACAGTATACTTGTATAGAATGAAAAGATCAGAAAAGAGGAAAAATGATGGTGCATAAGAAAAAGGGGAGAATTTCTGCAGTGAGTGATAAAAGCAAGGGAGATGGGATGTAGTGAAAGAGGATGGATGGACCTCTGCTGGGAACATAAAAAGTTCATGGTAGTGGGGGGAAGACAGAGTGTATGGCCACTGATTCTGGTAAGAAGGAAGATGGGGTAATCGAAATATGCAAATACTCTCTTATTTGTGTTGAATGTGCAGTTGAATTAGTGGTCATGAATTTGAAGTGTGACCAGTCAACAAGGTAAGCACATTTTTCTCCAGACTTGTTTATCTGCAGAAGTGCAGGCAGAGTTGGAAATGCCCAGTGTTGGCAATGATCATTCATAGCTGATACACAAGAAAAAGACATCCAGACATGTACTCTTGATAGTAGACAACCCCACATTTGAATCAATCTGCTTTAAAAAACCTGAACCCTGAATATGCTTAAGGCTCTAGATCTACCGAGTTACAAAGGGAAGAGAGAGGCTGAGGAATCTGTTAACTGACATCACATGGATGCAATCAGGAAATCCAGACTGTAGGAAATTCTACAGGACAAATGACCCACTTTCTACAACAACAACAACAAAATGAAAGGAGAAAAAGAAGAAATTGAGAGAGAAGCTGCACATTTAAAAAGCCTTGGCCAGGTGCGGTGACTCACGCCTGTAATCCCAACACTTTCAGAGACCGGGGCGGGCAGATCACTTGAGGCCAGGAGTTTGAGACCAGCCTGGGCAACATGATGAAAATCCATTTTTACTAAAAATACAAAAATTAGCCGGGTGTGGTGGTACTTGCCTGTAATCTCAGCTACTCAGGAGGCTGAGGCAAGAGAATCACTTGAAACTGGGAGGTGGAGATTGCAGTGAACCAAGATTGTACCACTGCATTCCAGCCTGGGCAACAAAGCAAAACTCCGTCTTGCAACAACAACAACAACAACAACAACAACAAAACAAAAACCAAAAAGCAAAAAAAAAAAAAAAGAGAAAAAAGAAAGAGGACAGGAACGTTGGCTTTAGAGCCATATCAATCAGATATACTGAATGTAACTTATTTGATCTCTGTTTAAGTAAACTTAAAAAAAAATCCATCACAACTGGAAAAATGTGAATACTGACTGGGTATTTGATTACATTAAAGAAATATTATTAATTATTTTTAGATATGACAGTAACATGGTGATTATGGGCTCCTTAGGTTGTCCTTATCTTTTAGAAATACAAATTGAAATGGTTACAGATGAAATTATATGAAGTTTGGAATTTGCCCAACAAAAATGAAGGATAGGAGTGGATGGTACTATAAGTGGAACAAGATGGTCATGTATTGACCATCATCAAAGTGGGCAATGAATACATAGGGAAGTATCACACTATTTTCTCTATTCTTAATGTGTCTGAAAAAGTACTTCATAATTTAAAAAAATTTAAAAGGATGAAATAAAGACACTTTCAGATATACAAAAACTAAGAAGACTTACCCCCCACCACATTCTTACTAAAGAAATATCAAAAGCAAGTACAGTACCGCAAGTAAAAGGAAAACTACCCTAATGCACAAAGAATGATAAATAATGGAAATAGCAAACAAGTGAGTAATCATAGTTACATATTTGTGTAAATCAAAACTAATAATTCCTGGCCCTGCACAGTGGCTCGCATCTCTAATCCTAGAACTTTGGGAGGTCAAGGTGAAAGGATCCCTTGAACCCAGGGCTTCCAGACTAACCAGGGCAACATAATGAGATGCCCGTCTCTACAAAAAATAAAAAATTAGCAAGGCATGCTAGCACACACCAGGAATCCCAGCTACTTAAGAGGGTGAGTCAGAAGGATTACTTGAGCTAGGAAGGTCGAGGCTGCAGTGAGCCATGATCCTGCCACAGCACTCCAGTCTGAGCAACAGAGCAAGACCCTGTCTCAAATAATAATAATCATTCCTAAAGAAGGGACGTAATTTTTAATGAGAGTTGAAAGGCTGAAAAAAAAATAGCATATAAGCCAGAAAGGAAGTCTCTAAATTTAAAGTGAATTATTTAGATTGTTCAGGTGGAGAGAAGAGATATTGATTAACTCTAGCCTAGTTTATATTGCAAGCAAGTTAAAATTTCAACGGTAACCACAAAAATTGTGTGCTTATGTGTGTGCGTTTGTGCATGTATCCAAACCCATATAAGAGAGGGAAAACCACATAAAAAAAATAAGTATGGCTCACCCCTGTAATCCCAGCACTTTGGGAGGCTGAACTGGGCCAATCACTTGAGGTCAGACGTTCGAGACCAGCCTGGCCAACATGGTGAAACTTTGTCTCTACTGAAAATACAAAAATTAGCCAGGTATTGTGGTGGGCACTTGTAATTCCAGCTACTCGGGAGGCTGAGGCAGGAGAATTGCTTGAACCTGGGGAGGGGAGGTTACAGTGAACTGAGATCACGCCACTGCACTCCAGCCTGGGCGGCGGAGTAAGACTCTGTCTAAAAAAAACCAAAAAAACAAAATAACTAATCAAGAATCAACTGTGTTGCCAAAACGTATGACCAAAGAGAAAGAGGAAAATAACACCGCAACCAGAGCAAGGGACCAGTTTACCGGCTCTTGGTGTCTGCTATGCTGGGGCCTGGGTGGAGACCCTATAGGCAGGGCTGGGCTGGACTTCAGCTTGGTCAACTGAAACCTTCGGAACAAGGCTTCTGGTCATGGAACTGATGGTGTAACTCCTTAGCAACTGCAGCAACACTGGAGAGAAACTCAGAAAAACTGATCTTCTCATCATGATTGCTGTCCTTCTTTTCTTTTTCTTTTTTTTTGAGACGGAGTTTCGCTCTTGTTGCCCAGGCTGGAGTGCAATGGCACAATCTCGGCTCACCGCAACCTCCACCTCCCCCATTCAAGCAATTCTCCTGCCTCAGCCTCCCGAGTAGCTGGGATTATAGGTATGAGCCACCACACCTGGCTAATTTTGTATTTTTAATAGAGATGGGGTTTCTCCATGTTAAGGCTGGTCTTGAACTCCAAACCTCAGGTGATCCGCCCGCCTCAGCCTCCCAAAGTGCTGGCATTACAGGCGTGAGCCTCCACACCTGGCCTAAACAACTTTTCTAAGAAATCTGGGCCCTTTTTTATTCCCTCTGAGTAGAAGAAAACAAACAAAGGGAAGGTTACAACCTGGGGCTGGACTAGGAAGATGAGAAGGAGACGGCAGAGGCTAAGGGGAAATACGTAGGGGGTGAGGTGGGGGTTGCTGGAGGGTGGGGTTGGGACAGCCGTAATGGATGGGATGGGGATCCCTGACCCTGGTGTTTTAATTGGTGACTCTTGGCTCAAATGAAAGCATGCATAGGAGATCCCAAAACTCTGAGGCCAGGTCTGCCTGTGTCCCTTGAAATGCCCAATACTCATTCTACATGGGCCAACACCCTTTGGACCCTAGTCTCAAAACTACCTCCACTTGGCTGGGCTCAGTGGTTCACGCCTATAATCCCAGCACTTTGGGAAGCTGAGACGGGTGGATCACCTGAGGTCAGGAGTTCAAGACCAGGCTGGCCAACGTGGTGAAATCCCATCTCTACTGGAAATACAAAAATTAGCCAGGTGTGGTGGCACGTGCCTCTAATCCCAGTTACTCGGGAGGCTGAGGCAGGAGAATTGTTTGAGCCTGGGAAGCAGAGGTTGCAGCAAGCCGAGATAGCACCATTGCACTCCAGTCTGGGCAACAGAGTGAGACTCCATCTAAACAAAACAAAACAAAACAACACAACACAAAACAAAACAACCTCCACTCCTCTCCTCATCATTCCATCAGAATATACCAGTTTCGAATCCCCTCCTTGTCGGAGCTCACTCTCTGTGATTCAGTCTGTTGCATTATTTGTGCCAGTGAGTTCAGCGGGTGTTAATGGTTTAATGGTGAAGTTAGATGTCATAGTGAGGGGGAACCAAAAACTCCCCAGGGTTTTAGGGCTGCCCCATTTCACTTGGCATTACGATTCTGTGGTGTCACTGCTGCTCTGAGGGGTACATGAAAAGAAGCTTCCAGAAGGAGCAGATGAACCCAAAGAGTTGAATCCAAAGGGGGAAATTTTTTTTTTTTTGCAGACAGCAGAGAGATATTTTAAGCCAGGAGATCTTCTGCTGACTCATAAGTCACGTAGCCTGCTGACTACATAATAACACTCGTTAACATCACGGTCCCTCTTCCCATCCTACAAAGCATCGCACATGTTTTACCTCATTTAAGTGTTCATGACAACCCCAGGAAATAAGTGATATTGTCCCCATTTTTACATCTAAGGTAACTAAGG